GTGCAGGCACTGCTGCGCGCCGAGCTGTTTGTCAGCCTGGAGCTGCGCATGGTCGTGGGCGAGGAGCGGCTGACGGCGGGCGGCGGCGGCGCCGCCGCGTTGGTCAGCGTGGAGGAGTACGATGTGGCGAGTGTTGGCGGGCGCGCGTTCGCCAAGCTCGCGTTCGAGGCCGGCAGGGCGTGCGAGCAGCTCTGGGTCAGGCGTGCGCAACACCTCGCGGGAGGTCTGCCGCTTGCGCTGTGCCCCAGGATGACCGTCGTGCATCAGGACCCCGCCATGAGGTTCTTGGAGAGGGCGGACGTGGTGGAGGTTTTCGCGCCGCAGGTGATGGGGCTCGTCGGGTATGTGAGCGGGCTGCTTGAGAAGGCGCGCAAGGAGGTTTGAGATCAAAACTTTTTTTTTGTCGGTTTTATACACATGATAACTTAAAACTGCACCGCACCGCACCCGCAACCTTTTCACAAGAGACAACAGAGAGCTGTTTGTTACTCGTTTTAGGTGTGATAAAGATAAGAGTTGGGCCTCCCTTCACCCTTCCGTCGCCTGGACATCCCAGACCTCTGCCACGCGTCCGACGACGCCGAGCACGGTCTCATAACAGCTCAGCCCGATAGCGCTCTGAGGCACAGTGCGAATCAACCCCGTGCCCATCCCCCGATGAAATGCGCGTATGCCCTCCATCTTCCAAATCTTCCTAAACGCGTCCAAGATGCCGTCGTACATAACCCCCGGCCCGGTCGATGGATTCTGCGCTTGCAGTCTTAACCGCACGACCTCGACTGGATACATGATCACGCCCACAAACGACGCGCTCGTGGCACTCGACACCGCCACACGCACATGCCCGGGCTCCCCGTCGCCGCTGCCCTTCAAGTACTCATACAGCGGCATCTGAATCATGGCGCCGGGAAAGCCGGCCATGGCCGCCGCCGTGCCCGCGTACAGCCCGCGCACGCCCTGCTCCCTGAGGACGACGCGGAACGACGACACGAGCCCCGTGTACTTGAGGCGCTTGTCGCGGCGGTCGCGCACGAGCTGCGTCTGCTGCTTTGTCTTGAGCACGAAGAGCGGGTTGAGCAGCAGGCAAGTGGTGGCCCACGCACCGCCGGCGGCGCAGCTGGAGCGGGTGACGTGTGGCGGGACGCCGTCGGCCAGCATGCGCTCCGGGACGCGGGCCTTTGAGGGTGGTGTACGTGCTGA